TCACGTACTTTACCTTGAACGAACGTGTTCAAACTATTCTTACACCAATCTTTACTGTTGCAAATGCGATAGCGTAAAGTAACATACACTGCATTGCACGCGATAAGGTATCTCTGTCCGTGAAATTGTCACTTAATGGTACGATACAGGTAGGACAAGTGAGAAAGAGGGATGATTAAAATCAGAGAAATGCGGGGAGCTCGTCAAGCGGAAGCATAACACCACGTTTCCTGCCCCACAGTGGGAGAAGCAAACAGCCGGCGAATCTCGACTCTACACACTTTATCTCATAGTAGTAAAATGCCGTATCAAAAGAAATGCTTCCTGTAATTTCTTTTTGCCATCAGCCTTCGGGGCAATGCGAGATTCGCGAAAAAGTGCGTGCATACAAAGCCAACTTGAAATGTATCTCTGATGTTGTGAAGAGTCAATCTGATTTGGACCGAGTGTAACTATACCTCGCGGAAAGTTGGGGAAGAAAATGAAGAAACAAAAGCAGAAGGAAAAGCAGAAACACAACATAGTTTAAAGGTGCACAAACGATGCCCTCATCTTAGCATAAATAAGTATACATCACCGATACACGCGTTTCACTTTTTCTGATTGGCTCAACGTACCAGCACGGCCACTTGGCCGGGTACTCTTTTAAGTGTCGAAACCTATGCACAAGTCACCTCTTATTATAAATATTACCCGTGATTTACGTGTAAGAAGACGGACAACTTTAATTGAGTTGAAAGGGAAGGTGTTATTTAGAAGCTATAGATGGGTGGGACCCCGTGTCCAAGTTTCCACTTGCTTGTGCCGGATGTTGTCCAGAAGCACTATAGTTGCACTTCCGAGTCCAAGCTAGAACTAGGTGTGATAGCGGCCCGCCTCGATGAATTAATTTTAATGACATCGTTTTTTTTTGCAATGCTAAACCCCAACAGATACTATATCAATGAATGATTTTCCGCCACCTCTCTATCTTCGCTGGTATTCCTTGCACAGCCTTCTTGAGAACACCATTACATCGCTTGGGAGTCGAACCCGCGGCCTCGTGCTAAGCAGCGCAGCGCCATAGTCGCTATAGGCTACCACGGCGGGTCCAATTCGGTAACACCAGTCAAAAATATAGTTTGCAATGCATGTATAAATGTGATGAACACTGCACCCCATCTTCATTCCTTAGCATACTAGAGTAACTGAAAGGGGTATTCAAATTTTAGGGAGAGGGCGGGAAAAGAAAGATAGTTAACCGAAGAATGCTGAAGACGTTTGGCTTGCAGTGCAGCATTCAGGTACTTCGGATGGTTTCCTAATGCCACACACTATGCCATGTAAAACAACGGAAAGAAATATCAGATTAAACTCATAGTCAAAGCCCTCATACTTGAGCATACAGCCAGACACATCAGTATACTCAAAAGTTCGCGGGTCCTTAAACGAGAGGATGAGCGAGCAGAGATGGGTGTACGTGCATGCATACCCTCGCGACAGGGTGCCAACACTGCGCGTCGCACATGGCGCCATCGCCCGGACGGAGCACACCGCAGAGAAGAGGGCATGCAGTCAAAACCGCCACGACAGCCTCACCTCCCCTCGACGCCCTCCCATCGACGTTGAACTCCCCGGTCTAGCAAGCGACCCCTTTCCCCCTCGACACCCACAGCTACCGCCAGTCGTGGTCGACGGGGCTTCCCCATGGTTGCGCAAATGCCCGCTCTCGATTCTGCCCGGCACGCAAAACATGCCTGCAGCAGTGAGCTGCCGCAGGCACGTGTACACATTTACGCCCATGCACGAGACACCCCTATACAAGCGGTCATACTCGAGCATACAGCCAGACACATCAGTATCAGTCTCTGAAGCGAGACCGTGTTTTGCAACGTCCCATTTTATGAGTTAGCTCGTCAGTTTATTACACGCACAGATACTGCATACCCAAACATACCCGTATATTATACATTCGAGTGCATTTAAAAGGCAGTTTACCTTATCAACACCGACGCGAATGTAAAATTGAGTTCATTGCATTTCTGCTCCAATGCGAGTAATTATCGCGCAGGTGCCTAAGATGACGTGCTCACACGTCGTTATGTCGAGTGCGAACGTTATTATTCAAATTAGCTTAATTAGTACTACAAGCTAAGGAAAGTATAAGGGATTTTATTTGTAGTAATTCATGGTACAAATGAAAAAAGTAAACCGAACAAAACGACAGCTAGCTGCCAACAGAGACCAAACATGCAACCTTCGGTTAACGCGACCTATGATCTATACCATGCACCAATACTGCTGCGGTCGTACTCCCGTCCACTTTATTAGGCACATCAAGTAGATATACTCAGTTAAGTACGGGAGGACGGCCGCTGCAGGGACTCAGTTGTTATACAGGCTATAGGTAACGCTATTCGAAGGATTCAGATTCGGTCCCTGTTGGGGGGAAGTTGCCCCTTTTTCCGATTTAATTTATCCACACTTATTTGATAACTGGCTACAAATACGATCCCCTATACTTTTCTGGGCTAGACTTTCTGTTGGTTTTCATTGAGATCGTAGAGACCTGAAAATTCTCCCTCGTTTCGTTCTATTTCAATAACAGATACAATGGTTTCGTAATGCGCCTCACGGCGAATCGACTATTGCTTGACCAATGTTGCGCCACTCGTCGTTAATGCTGCTGTTCCCCTCGGCTCAACGCGCGTACACGACTAATGAACTGTACGCGATGAAGTTGAGAGAAGCTTCGGTGTACGAAAATCCCAGGATGTATGCTTCAAAGCACAGGGTACAAACATCCGAGTGGTGCTGGCGCGAGTATAGCGACGAGTGAATTTTTCGCCTGGTCCGTTTTTCTTGCAACGTATACGCACTGATCGTACCCTTAAGTTTACTGAAAGAGTTAATTGGAAGATGTATGCTAAAGAACAGAAGTAGACATCGAAAAGACTGATGGAAAGTCGATGAAGGAGGGGCTGTATCAAAGAAAATTCCCTAAGGATAACTAACAATGCACTGTAACACTTGGGCACTTGTGACGATTTAAAAATACTAATTATCGCATGTAGAAACGCTACAGAAGGAGTAGATATTAAGTTCTTCATTGAGCCCGCCAGTGCCATAATTTTGTGAAACTGAATTTGTATGTGTTTGTGGAACCGAATTTGTGTGTAACGTGGTGAACAATAAAATTCCTTTTTCGCCATGCGGCATACAACTTGTCGAGTGCACTTGAGAAGCAAGGGTGTTTTGCAGTTCTTACATTACGATGCGTGTTGGTACGCGGCGAGTGAGAAATGTTGGCGAGGCGAAGAATTACGTTCGCATTTATAGGCGCCACGGTATTCGGCGATCCGCAAGCCCGATAGGCTCGATCCGACACGGTGTCCTTGTCGCCCCGGCACGCGGTCTTACCGATGACGCCAACGCTTGTTGGCTCGACATAATCCCTCGCTCACATGTAAATGCGCAAAGCCGATAAAGAAGCACAACGCCGTTTCTCGGCGCCTGCGTATTATACGCAGCGCTCCCAAACGTTATCAGTGCCTCGCTATACGGGCGCTGAAAGGTTTCGACTCTAACTTAGCACCCAAGATTGTCGCGTTATTTCACTGTTATAGTTGTCGCGATCAAAGATATAGATAGTCGCCTAACCTAATGGCTTGCTTGTTTTGTTAGCAGCAAATGCGGTTGTTGTATAGAGCCCAACTGCGCACATTGACCGACATGTGAAGTTTCAGAACGCGCGCTGCTAGCAATATGGTAATTAATGCGCATGAAAGAACGTCGGAGCCAAAAATAGCTGATGAAGCGCCCATCGACGATCGTATGAACCAGGAGCCCAGAAAACCACTGGTATTCATTAGATGTCTATAGAATACCAGATATATCAATTGGATACGAATAGAGCCAGCACTCAGTAGCAAGCTATGTATATCCAGCGGACATTCGCTGTTAATCGGTATACGTGGTTGCGTTACGAAAGCGAGTCAGCGGAGAATGCAGAAAACATGCACCCTAGCTTTGGGTGACAAACCGAACATTTAGTAGCAAGCGCTGAACCTCACACCACCCAAACATATATATACGGATGTCGGACATCATACATAATGCTGGTGCAAGGACTCAAAGCGAAGCACCTTTACAAGACCATTCGTGTCTTTCGGTTCGTTAGGTATAGAACATCGAGATGTAATCAGTAGATCGCGATTGTTTTTAGAAAGCCATTAACCTGATCTCAGAGAGCGAGAGTGAAGAGTGGGCTTTGCTGAAATGCATTGCGTTATAACTGCACAGTAAATCAGTAGACCTGCTACGTTCACAAATGCAACGAAATGTAAAAATATTACTGGCGTCCCAATTTGCGCAAAATGTGTCGGACTGTACTGCATATATACGCACTGGCGCAGCCACCGCGTACACGAGCTACAGCCCCCATTGGCTGTGGCTTGCCTACATGCAAATAAGCTCGTTCATCCACGAGATGTACCAGCAGGTAACAACCAAATATTTCACATAGTTCTAGTAAGTGAAAAAACGAATAGCACGCCCTCCCAGCGCCAAGGCACGATCCACCACCATCTCCAGTCAAGCATGATAATAGGGCACGAGCAGCTTTCGACGCACGCAAGCTCATACGTGCGTTGTGCAAGGTGTGCGCATTAAACGGAAATTCCGCTGGACGCGACGCATGCCCCGAAACACACAGCACTTCCTCCTTCTTTCCCCTCTTCCCGCCTTTCCTCCGCGTCGCCAATTCCCGCCCAAGCAGCACGAAAGCGAAAACGAAACCTGGACCTACCTGCGCGAGCAGCGTCCACAGTGATACAAGGGACAAGGTGCCTTAATTCACGCGGCTCACGGTGAGAAAATGATAACCGACCCGGCACACGCCGCTACGGTCCGGCGACCACCATTCAATGCACGCGCCGCGGACGCATGCCAGCGAGGGTGCACGCATGCATGCATGCATTGCCAAGTGCGTCCGCCGGTCAGGAGGTGGTAGGAGCACTCACAGAATGACCATTGAAGCACGCCGGGATCCGGTCGTGGCGGCGGTGGACTCTCGTTGCCGGGTTTCCAGTCGCTGGATGGAACACCACACAGTCAGCCGGCGGTAGTGTGCAGCACGGGGACAACGTACGGGGCCGTGGGTCCCCCCCTTCTTTTTTGGAGACCGATGCGTTCGTGGGCGCGACGGCTCTCGGGGCCCAAGCACCGCAGAGCTAACACACACAGCACTGGCGTCACCCACGGGCTCAATGCGAAGACGAAGAACACGGCGAACAAGGGGTTGTTGTCAGGGCGAGCGAAGGGGAAGAGTGGAGCGTGATGCCGGCTGCAGCGCGGCGGCAGGCCCTCTCTAGCGGCGGCTGCAACGGCGCGGCACGGGCGAGACGCTGATGGAGGGCACGGGCATCGGCTCCGGAGAATGGGCCGCCTGCGACACTTTGTCTCGCGCTCACAATGCGCGCCGCGAACAAGCGCCCGACGGGAGCGCGCCGCCGCGGAAGCGCGCTCGACGTGGGAGGCGGGCCGAAACGCCTCCATTGGAGCAAAAATGTCGTGACGTCACAAGAGCTTGCTCGCGGGGAGGCGGGGTTTGCAAGGAGGCGCGAGCGAAACGCACGTGACGCGTCGCCGCGGCGTTCCGCCGCACAACCAACATGCGCACGCGCGGAACGGCGCTCGAGAGGTCGCGCGCACGGGCGCGCGTGTTCGAGCGTTTGTGCAGACGCGACGGCCGATGAACGAAGGACGGCCATGCCGGTAGCCCAGGGAAACGAGAACTCCGTCCGATGATCACGTTCCTCTGGAGACTGGCGCGGAAGATCGAAACCGATTGCCTGCATCCCGCACTCACGCTTATTATGAGGCAATGACTTGAGTGTAGGCATGCCCGCACATGTAGGATTATTTTGCTGAAAGTGTAGGTCGGTTGCCTTTACATTTACGTTTAGCAACGCAGTGTTTTATTAATAAAAATTTCTGAAGAAATTTGTAATGAAAAGTTTACTAGGCTGTCGCACGACTGGGCGTAGCTTCTCTCTTTTTTTTAATGCGGTAATATTTACGCATGGTACGCCACTTACTTATGTAAAGCTTACCTGACTACACACAAGGGTTATATATGCAACGCTTGTCATTCATGGTACGTGGTTTCAAAGCAAGCGTCTACGTAGATCGAAACTTTTAAGAAGTATATACACACTGGCCCCCTCTATGCAGGCCATCGCAGACACCATTCTGTCCGAGAAAAGACAAAGTGACCAGAAAAATGAGAAACACGTTTCCTCTCATAAGGGCAGAGCTTAGCTCTGGTAAAAAAGGCTGCCGCGCAGTATTTTTCCAGCTAGCCATTTTTTTTTTACGAAACTATAGCGATCATAAAACTAGGACACACCTATAAGAACCAGACCTTACTTGCGCTTAAACTGTATATGCCGTCTTTATTCTCACTAACACTTCAGCGGTACATGCCTGCGCTTATAGTTCCTCGATGTTTTAGTGAACAAAATGAGAGCAGTAGAAAATTAAAAATAAGTGATGGAGAGATGACAGAGCCCCTACTCTCAATGCGATATAACGGTCGAAATACAACAATAATCATTTATTGTTCCTCCGCTGCCCGTGACCAAGAAAACCGTGCCCCAATCCTTCCATTTTTCTCTTCGTCCTCCTTCTCTTGCATGAAAACGAGGGATATATATAGACACGAACATCGCAGGTAAATTGCGAAAAAAGTGAAAACGAAATGATGCTTTCAAGCCGCCGGTATTTCAATTTTCACTGGACTCAATAAAAAACAAAAGCTTCCCGCAGAGCATATATACAGCGTTATAAGTATATATTACATGCAATTTGCCAAGGGCCATATTGTTGGTCTTGTTGCACAGTGGCACATTGTCACAGCACGACACAGTTTTTCGCATTTTTACGCATTTTTTTAAATGTTTCTTCACGTTCTCTGTTCACCCAAAGGCGTTTCGCAGTAGTTGTTGTTGTTCACCTATTGTTAGTGGCGCATACGCACTATGGGGGATTGGCCAAGAATCGAGTGGTTTTAAAAATTATACTGTTCAGATTTGGAATAATGGAGGTATAACAGAAAGATTACCGATAGCCTAGGAAAGTGCACACTAAACGAAAATGACCTGAAGTAACCTCAAAAGCTGGGTAAATCACTTGTCCTCTAGCGCACCACCTTTCCTGTTTTTTTTTTTTTTTACCACCTATATACTATCGAAGTGAATATTTACTCTCGTGCTGAGTTTTTGAACGTAGGAAGGGTAGTAAATATTTATATCAATGAGGTTTTGAGCGAGTATGGAGAGAGTAAATTTTTACTACGTTTACAAGGTTTTTGAGGTGATTTCGATTGATTGATTTGTGGGGTTTAACGTCCCAAAACCACCATAAGATTATGAGAGACGCCGTACTGGAGGGCTCCGGAAATTTCGACCACTTGGGGTTCTTTAACGTGCACTGCACCCAAATCTGAGCGCACGGGCCTACAACATTTGAGGTGATTTCTGGTCGTTATTTCCGGTGGTAAGAAAATAAAAGTGAACGGGTGCATTCGCCCACAGTCGACAAATTTATTAAATATCGAATGATTGGCAGAATCGATGATACATTTATTCACATACAAATAAACACGCACACACAACAAATGCATAATAATATGCCACTGGAACAGACTGCCCGCGTTACTCGACTGTACTTTGACATAAGGCTGGTGCACACCGGCGACTATAGCAGCGGTCGCGGCACCATTTGCGACTGGTCGCAAACAGTCGCAAAGCGACTGCTTTCGCTAGTCGCTTGCTGACCGATTTTTCAGTCGCGCGACTGCAGTCGCAAAGCTGCTGGAACCAATCAGCGATGCTCAATTTTTGTTCTTTTGTTTTTTTCATTGCGCTGGCTTCCTGCCGCCAGATACAAACGAGTGCGTTCCTCTGGGTCTGTGAAAACTTGGCTTGAAGATGGTGGGGCCTAGCAGCTCGAGCAAAGTGTCGAATTTGCGTGGCGGTATTCGCAAGAAGGTAAGCACCGTCAAAGCAAAGAGAAAATCAATTGTGCACTATCTTTTCCCCGTGTTCAGAACCGTTTTCTTGTCTTGAACTTGATTTGTCACCGCCTTCAATGCAGTGCGTTTGAAACGCGTTTGTGCTGTATTGCAGGCTGTGGCAAGTCAATTCAAATTCAAGTACAGTTTCTGAATACGTACGACTCTCGGAAACACTCCTCGTCGTCTCAGCGAAGCTCGGGAGGCAGGCGACTTGCATGTTGTTGTTGTTGTTGTTGTTGTTGTTGTTGTTGTTGTTGTTGTTGTTGTTGTTGTTGTTGTTGTTCTCCTATTGTTAGTGGCGCATACCCACTGTGGGGGATTGGCCAAGAATCGAGTGGTTTCAAAATTTACTGTTCAGATTTGGAATGATGGAGGTTTAACAGAAAGATTACCGATAGCCTATAGGAAAGTGTGGTGCTTAATGTAATGCGTATAACAAATGTTTGCATGAACGAATTTATTCTTAGAATAGAGCAATAATCTGATTTTATACGTATATAAATATGTGGACCTGTTAGGATAATGAAACTGATTAATTAGTCAACCTATTAGTTTCATCAATATAGTCCCGGACGGCCGCGCATACTGTCGCATTAGAGAAACCAGAAATGGAAGCTCCAAAAGAAAAGATGACAGGCAGAGACAAGTCCATACCAATACCACGTAAAGGTATTTCTAATAGGGTTTTTCTTAATGTGTTAAACCGCCTGCAGGTTTAAAAGAAACGGTCTATTGTTTCCAGTTCATCACAGAATGCACACAGTGGCGAAGGTGCCTGAGCAGACCTGTGTTTATAGAAATTTAGATTTGGTACCCGGCAACGCAGCCTTGTGATAGCTACTTCTTGTTTTCCAGTGCGGCAAAAGTCTCTTCGCCAGGGATATAATAAATGGCGATATTCTGTAGAGTTTGTTAGTGCTGAACCTTTAAAGACTTGCATAAGCGTACGTCTGCGGAATCGAGCAGCACTCACATAAGCGGATGATGGACAGAGCGGTAGAATTGGTTGACTGATTGACGACTTAGCTAAGGAATCGGCTATTTCATTTAGAAACAAACCTTTATGTCCAGGCACCCAAACTAATCGTACTTTTCTCAAATGCGCAGGTACTAGTGCACGGAACGCCTTTGTTACGTGATTATCAGCGCCAACAGAAAGTGCCGCACAGAGAGATAGGGAATCTGTTATTATGACAGCTGATGTAATTGCTGTACCTAACTTGCGTAAGGCAAGCACTACTGCCAGAAACTTAGCCACAAAAACGGGTATGAAATCGGGTAGTCGAAGGGAATAAATCCAATTTAAAATCGGGCTCAAAGTACCAACCCCTGACTTTTCGTCATATTGTGATGCGTCTGTAGCAATAATAACGTTCGTTGTAATACGGCGCAGGTGATCTTGTAGTAAACCATCCAAAATATTACGGGGAAGTAATTTGGCATTATTAGGAAAAATGTCGTCGAATTGAATTTCCACCGGGGCTAAATTATCACGACTCGGCATGATGCCGCATATACGTACGTTTAGAGGCTCCAGTAAATTTTGCACAAATATAATATGTGGCGTGTGAAATCGCGGCCATTTAGCAGCAAAAAATGATTCCGGGGTGGAAATAAGGGCTGTTTCTGAATGTCGTAATGGTGATTCATAAATTCTTAAGAATGTCTGAACAGTCAGAAGGCGAATTCTACAAGAAAGCGGAGGGACCCTCGATTCGAGATACAACACATTGTTGGCAACTGTTTTGGGAAGGCCGAGGCATAGGCGCAAGGCTTCTCTTTCCAGAAGAATTAGAGGCCACAACTTGTAAGCTGGAACTCCAAAAAAAAGTACACAACCAAATTCCAAAATGGGACGAACGTACATGCGATATATCATTACCAATGTGTCTCTTCTCATACCTATAGCCGGTAATTGCTTAGCCTACGTAATATGCCAATGGCCTGCACACCTTTTCCGGCGATATATTCGATATGAGGTCGCCAGTTAAGCGATGTGTGGCCGGTCAACTCCCGCAATCGAAATGACTGTCACACCCACTACCGGCTTTTTTTTTTTTTTTTTTTTTTGAGGCATCTGTGATGCCAGCGCTGACACCATGCTGTTGGGAACACTGTGCGAGAACGGACGAAAACAATAAATGCGGCGCGCCCGGTTCGCTCCGCTGACTCAGTTGGCGGTGATCAGCTGATTGGCGCCGGTCTCTAGAGTTCTCGCTGATAACGAGATCCGGACGTGACTCTCCGCTTTTGCGACTTCCGGTCACTCGCATGCAGCCGCTGCTGGTGTGAACATCAGTCGCTTTTTGGTCGCCAGTCGCAAATGGTCGCGCGACCGCTGCTATAGTCGCCGGTGTGCACCAGCCTTTAAAAGTATGGCAGCTTGGGCTAG